AGGAAGTCATGCTTCTTTCACTCATATTACATTCCAAAAAAGTGAGGCAGCTATGCAAAGAGGCCTTCCTTTGAATAAAATAGTTCTCCTTTTATAATGTGCGCTTATCCACCTGGATAACATATGTCTGAAATGGAAATCCAGGCATACCTTGCTCAAGGAAACAAACAGTCTTTTTTTGGATTTACTTATACCATACATCTGCTGCAGATACTGCTTTTTTAAAAAAAGCTCCAATATTCCCCTGGTGATCCAATATCATTAATCTCTGTCATTTTTATGTCTCCCCACAGAACAATATTTCCAATTTATTACGTTACTTGGCAAACAGAAGCACGGACACCTCAAGCCACCAAAACAGGAAATTTCATTACACAAGTCAGCTGATATATGTACCTTGGGGTTGCTGTATTGTATTAACAGCCTAGCACCCTGATTGTGAGCTCACTTCACTTTGAAATTCTACTGGTTTTGATTCGGCTTTCCTCCCCTGTGAGCATGCTTAACCTTAAGCCATTCGTACTTTTGTCCTCTAATATACAACAGGTCTTACACATCAAGAGAAGCTGGTGACCAGCCAACTCACTTCCCATACCACCTTCCAAGAGCTGCTGACTATGGTCCTATCCGCACTCTCCTTTTAATCCATGCTCACCACGGTGTCCTCCAAGTAATTCTGCACTAAAATCTAATTCAACCTTCTTTTTATTCTGGGTTTTCCCCCCATTCTGCATTACATTACCTCCCTTCAGTGGTCAGCCTGCTGTTGCCCCGAGTTATTTGGATGCTGTTTTGCCGTGGACTTAAATTGCCTTGACTTGAACACTGAGAAAATCTGGAGCAGCAGGCAAATGCGGAATGGTCTAATTCTCATTGAGGTGGTAAACCTATGACCGGCCCCTACCACTTCCAATTGTAGGTGATGGAATGGTCTTCCTTTAAAAAAAAAATAAATCTCTGTATGTATGTTTTTAAAGGTTTTTTTATTGTAACTTTTGTCCTGTTCTTATTGGGTGTATTTTATATGCTGTTAACTGCCCTGAGACTCATTCAGGGGAGAGGGAGTGGGATATAAATCTGATAGGTTAGTATATCAATATATAAATAAAATGATGAGGACAAGGAGACAGATTTTAGATTAGTGTTTTCTTGAACATGCACAGGGTGTTTTTTTAACCATCCCATAATATGAATCCTAAATACAGTACAGCACAGAAATAAGTGCTCCATCTCTGTGTGGATAGCAGGTCTAGATTCTACAGTTCCTGGGATACTCTGGATATCAGGTTGTGATTTTGCACTTCAGCCTAGGTAAAATACCCCAAACAGACACGTCACAAAATGTCCAATCCTCAGCTGTGCATCTGCACTTGATTTTCTTTACTTCAAACATATGACCAAACAAAGTCAAAGAAGAGATTTGCAATCTGGCATAAAATGTGGTTTAACTTCAAAGAAACTGCAACAAAAATGCTTTTAAAGAAAACCTGTTCAGGAAGATGTGCTCTATCTATGCTAAAATTCCCCATGAATCTCACACTAAGGAAGTCATCCCACCTCCTACAATGACCATTCCTCTCAACAGCTTTTTGACTCACTTCATTCTCATTATTTCAAAAGAGAAAGCATTAATTCAGGAGAAATGCATATTAAATGCTGTAACAGCAAGATTTGAGTCCAGTAGCACTTTAATGACCAACAAGATTTCCAGAGTATAAGCTTTTGAGTGTCAAAACTTTTTTTTTTTGGACTCTTGAAAGCTTCTACCCTGGAAATCTTGTTTGTCTTTTAAAGTACTACTAGACTGTAATTGTACTCTTCTACTGCAGATCCGACATGGCTATGAAATGGTTATGAACTCTCTAAAGAGCTATCCAGAAGAGTATATTACAGATTTTAAATATATATAACATTCTGAATTTAAATAATCCTGCAGCTTCAATTAACAGTACTAATCCTAATACTACTGCATTGTTTAGTGGCTGTGTTATGCTGCAGGATTGCTTTTAATGTTTTGTAATCCTCCTTGAGTCTGAGGCTGTGGTCACACATCTCTCATATATATTTGAGTTTTCGTGTCCCTCTTGCCTGAATGTTCCACACGCCCCCACAGCCTTTGGCTCCCTGCTGTGTCAGTCACCAGGGGTCTCTACCCATTGGTGGCTGTGTTGCCTGAGTCCCGCCCTTCCCTTTCATCTCCATAAGGACCATAAGGAAGGCCAAGCGCCGAAGAATAGATGCTTTCGAATTATGGTGCTGGAGAAGACTCTTGAGAGTCCCTTGGACTGCAAGGAGATTAAATCAGTCAGTCCTAAAAGAAATCAACCCTGACTATTCCCTGGAAGGCCAGATACTGAAGCTGAAGCTCAAATACTTTGGCCACCAAATGAGAAGGGAGCACTCACTGGAGAAGACCCTGATGCTGGGAAAGATTGAAGGTAAAAGAAGAAGGGGTTAGACAGTGTTATTGGTGCAACAAACAGGAAATTAAGCAGACTCCAGAGGATGACGGAAGACAGGAGGGCCTGGCATGATGCGGTCCATGGGGTCGCGAAGAGTCGAACTCGACTGTGTGACTGAACAACAACAACATTAAGTATTAAAACAATGTGGTGTTGAGAGTTTTATGAATACCATGGACTGCCAAAAAGATTTCCACTTATTTAAGTGGGCTCTAGACCAACTCAAGCCTGAACTCTCCCTAGAAGCTAAAATGACTAAACTGAGGCTATCATAGTTTGGTCACTTAATGAGAAGACCAGAGTCACTGGAAAAGACAATCATGCTAGGAAAAGGTGAAGGCAGCAGGAAAAGAGGAAGAACCGACATGAGATGGATGGACTCAAACAAGGAACCCAAGGCCCTCAGTTTGCATGATCTGACAATAGGACATTTTGGAGGACGTTCATTCATAGTGTCCCCATAAGTGGAAGCGACCTTATGGCACTTAATTTAGCAGGAATAATAATCCCAAACAGGGCTGGTTCCAAGTTTTGGAGGGGCTATGGCAAGGTAGTGATATCCCTACCAAGCAGGATTCCTCTAAAGAGAGAACTGAAAGGTGCCAGTCTCAATGGCTCAGCCCTAAAGGAGCCAAAAAAGGAAATGAGAGATGGGGTGGCCACCCCCAGTTGAACACTGGTGTTCCATTGCTCAGCTTCTTGCTAGTGAAATGAGCAAGTGGCATCAGCAACCAGGAGCAGGGGCTTCTCATGCCCGAGTGGTCTCCCGGTCCAGTAGCTTCCCTCTGGCAGAGCAGCAGCGGAGAAAAAGGAAGGGGCCATGAACTGCCGCCACAAAAATCCAGCCACCAGTCATCATCCCTGTTAGATTGCAAGCAGGGAGAAGTAAATGGCTAATTAGAAATGAATGGTAAAGTATTGTGAATTAAGCTCTCCGCCATTTGCATTTGAGGACAAACTGACCTTTTTATAGAAATATGGAGCTACCTTTTACCACTGGAGCTACTTTTTACCATCTTTACCCAGCATTATCCACTCCAAGGGGCAGACACTCCAGTCTCAAGTAGAGCTCTTTCAGCATCCTTTAACTTGATCTTTTGTGTACAAAGTATATACTCTACCACGAAGCTACGGTCCCACCCCCTTAATGGAACAGAGATATGACAGAGAAGGATAACAAAGGCCAATACCTGCTCTCCTCTCTGTGTGGTCTGTGAAAGAGGACGGTGATATTTTATTGAGAATTTCAGCTGCCCTTGCCCCCTTGACAACTCTTCTTAACCCATGGTAGTTCATTTTGTTTGGTTGTTCCCTGGAATCCAGATTTTAAAGGATAGTTTACTGCATCCTGCACTTTATGTTTGGTTGTCACTGTGTTTGTGAAGTTCAGTTTTTTCATCCAGCTGCCTCTTTGTTTCATTAGCCTGGATATCAAGAGCATTTTTAAATAGTCACGACTGCACTGCTAGAGCCTTTGTTGATGTGTTTAAGTGCCTTTTTTATGTTTCTCCACATGCTGCCAACAAACTATGTATTCTTATGAACCTTTTTTTATATTGGTGGTATTTTGCTTTGAGAAGACATTAAATAAAACTTTTTTTAAAAAGGCCAATACCCTAATCTGGCAATATTTCTCAAGTGTGGGATCTCCAATGCACACATGGGATATTCCCATCTGGAATGGCTTAAACACTCATTTTAAAGAGTGTTGGTAATGTGTTATGTTCCTATGTGTGTATTAGTTGGGTTTCCCCCACTAAAGGGAATAAGGAATTCCTAAGAGAGTAAATCTCGCGATCAGAGCGCATGTAAGTCGCATGCTGTATTACAGAAACCGTATCAGAAAATAAACACATGGGTAACTTTGTCACTTAACAAGTATCTGATTCACGACATAGCTGAAGCAGTCAATATGATACAGAATGGAAGATCTGTATTCACTTACCATAAAGCTTCCTTTCTCGGTGGTCCAGGAGTGGGATAGTTCTTACTCTTGGGAATAGGCTCCTGGCATCATTGCTGCATGCAAGGCTCAGGGATTGAATCCACCCAAAGGTGTTGTAGCATATTCTCTGTGGGGAGCTGCTACGTCAGCAGCTTGCAGATCATTTCCCATCCTTGGAGACGGTAGGTACGGTAGTCATCTGGAAATCTGTGCACTCTATAGAATAGAGTGCTATAGAGAAGCTGACCTTGGCTGTGGCGGCTTTTCACTGGGGTGTGCTGCAGCACACTCTATAAACCAGAAGCTGGATTTCCCATCCTGGGGCACACTGCTATTTTATGTCCCAAGAGTAAGGACTGCCCCACTCCCAGGACCACCAGAGAATGGAAGATTTGTATTCACTTACCGTGAAGCTTCCTTTCTCAGTGGTCCAGGAGCTCCCAGGGGACAGGACCCTCCCCTTCCTGGATTGATCTGAGGAAACTGACCCTGTTCCAGAGGAGGAGCTTATTCCCAGGAGTAAGGACTGCCGCACTCCCAGGACCACCGGAGAATGTATGTGGCCAATCAACAGGAAGGTAAAATGAACAAACCTGACTACTTTGTTTGTGCTCTTGCATTGCATCCTCAACTGCTTGAGCGATCTTTTCACGATCTTTGCTTCGCTCCTTTTGCCAGTGTTCCTTTTCTTCTGCGTGAAGCTTTTCCATATTTTCCCTTTCTTCTTTCACTGCTATCAGAATGGCAGCCTGCACGTTTTCTTTTTCAATCTTTACAGCAAATATGAGCGACAAAATTGAAAGCAGATAACAGCCGTTAATGCCATTTACAGCCAAACTGCATACATACTTACTCAGACATAAGGCCCACTCTGGCACAGAACTGCAGCTTTACTACCTTTAGTTAAGACCCACTGGATGCAATGTGTCCCAGTGGTTTTTAGTTCACCAGTTTAAAATTGATACTGGTTGAAAAGGCCGGCATCTCGGAAGGCTTCAGGTGGACTTTAAACTACCTACTATCCCACCAGAAGCAGTCGATGTCAAATTAATTGGATGGGACAAAAACAAAGAGAGCGGAAGTCTAGTCTGCTGACTTCTAGGCAGAACAATACCAAGTAGATCCAAGACAATATGGATGCTATTAAAAAGATAACCATTCCTTACAGTTTGCAACAGCTATTAATTTTCCACGATGGAGACTTGCTTGTAAAAAGCAGGCCTCTCCCTCTGAATTGTTTCAACGTGTCCTGAACGGCTTTGGCTTGAGCCAACCTGTCCTACACATGGGCCGACACAGGCTGGATTAAACTTTCTGTTGTCATGTTAAAAAAAAAAAATGGTTGCGAGAAGAGGCCCTCCGTTTTATTTTCAGCTGTTTCTGAAAACAGAGTTGTTTTGTTGGTGTTATTTTTCAATAACGTACTTGTCGAGCCAGAGTTAAATTACTTGCCACCCAAGCCTTCTTGGCCTTTGTGCCATGATGTCAGCTTTCAATGCCAGCTAAAATTACTGGAGGGATAAATTAAAAACATAAACTTTTAACTGCTGTTTTCTTGCTCAATCTAGCATTTACTTTGCAGTTCTTATTGTATCCCTCATATTTTTTTATATAACTGCAAGTTGCCTTAGGTACCGAGGTTTTCTCTGCAGAAAAAGGATCAAACAGTAACTTCTGCTGGCTATCTATAGAGCATATTCTGTTTTTGAAGAGATTATGGTATAATTTTTCATGGGCTAAAAACCACTTTAGCAGATCATGAAACATTACCTTTATTTGACAACTATGCCCACCACACACAAATAGGGTTACCAGCTTCCAGGTGGGGCCTGGAGATCTCCCATAATTACAACTGATCTAGACAATAACTTCACCAAGAACGGAGCATGGTGGAAAATTTTAGCTTCTGGCACAATGGGGGCGGGGATAAGGTTTTTATGAGCAGTCCTAAATTTCAGTGCTTTTCCAGGTGTCCTTTAAAATGGCTCATCTTTCAAATCACCTTACTCCTACACTAAAAATCAGAAGCAACAATAACCAACACAGCCATAACAAACAGCTTTAAACTGGACTTCAGCTAGAGGTACCTTTGCAGCTGCGCCCAAAGCTTCCCCATTTCTTTGCCTTTCATCTGCCATACACTTTTCCAGAATTTCCTGCAAATACAAATGAAAATAAAACAGACTAAAGAGTGGGAAGATATGGTCCCAAACTCTCAGTAAGTTTGAGTCTACTGGCACCCGTAAACCAACAAAGTTTTATTCTGGGTATAAGCTTTTGTGTGCGTGCTAAAGAAGTGTGCATGCACACAAAAGCTTATACCCTAAATACAACTTTATTGGTCTTATTAAAGGTGACTGGACTAAAACTTTGTTCTGCTGCTTCAGATCAACACGGCTGCCCACCTAAATCTATCTCAGTAAGTTTTAAGATTCTTAGCCCCTTTCTGTGATTTTTTTTTACACAGCTATTAAAGTTAAAGCAGGACATAACTAACTGAGGCAAATCCTTCTAGGGAACCTTAACTAGCAAGCAGAGAGAAAAATAAAATATTTTTGAACAGGGTGCTGCTGTAATCAGGTGAGGCAAACATTAGGCAGGGACAAACTTAGTCTCATTAACTTGGGTGTTTTTTTGGTTGCCTCTGTCAGTTAGGAAGAATACCACGTACACCAGAAAACCCCAGATTTTATTCTACCGAGTGCTCATATTCTTATGGTTCAATTTTTCCACTTTTGCCATTTCCATAAGCTAATGTCTCAGACATAGCATTTCCCTCTTCTCCCAATTAACACCTCGTTCACTATTACAGGCTGTAAAAAAAGTTCTTTCTTCTGAGCAACTGGAGAAACTCGTCTCCTTCTGATACCCTCTGCCATCAATAATCTAAGGGCTCAGACATCATACAAAGTACCTTATATTCCTGCGACTGCTGCATCAAGGATTCTTCTATTTTTTCCTTTAATGCTTCACGCTCCTTGTTCAGAATATCAAGCAGCCTTTGATGCTGGGAAAGAAGACAATCACATAGATATGGTTGGCTACATGAAGACATTACTGAAAACGAGAGCTTGTAAGCACCTAGTTGTATTCCTGTTCATCTGACTGAAAGCATGAATCTGGTTCTCTCTTCAGTGAGAACAGCAGCAACAGGTAGCTTATATGTTGCATGGATTATGCTGATTAATTACCATTTATCCTGCATCCCCAAATCTACCATAAGAACCATAAATTGAACCAAGGTAACTGGTCGTGCAAATTCTGAAAATTCTCTGGTAATATTACTAGGTACTTAGTATGTGACTTCTGAAAAGATAGCTTTCCCCCCACTTTTCACCATGCATCAATATGTGCAGTTACTGTGTATGAAGGAACTGGAAGACCGTTGTCAACTCCTTGGCTGCCACATTCTAGCAGTAACTGAAGGGAACTGAATTCTTCCCATCTCTCTTTTTTACTACTATTTCTCGGTATCTGTCAGACACAAACTATATATGAGAGCAACAGCCATGTCATTTATGTATACACATGGGGTGGGTCTAATTTCTTTTAAAGGTGCAAGGGGCAGCAAACTTGAATCCAGCCTCCACCTTGTCTGCCTGTATCTGAAAGTCTCCCGTTATATTAGGGATGTATGAACCTGCAAAACAGCCAGCACTTTTAAGATACATCAATGTTCACTGCTGTTCTACTGAATTTTAGCTGATCATTTTATGCTTTTCATTTTTAGCATCTACCAATTCTCAAAGTGACTGGAATGCCGTTTGAAAAAGGGAGGGTACATTACTAGAGGAGCATCTCCTAAAACCTGCATATAAAAAAAAAAATCAAGAAGCTTTGAGTCCTTGGAATGAGAAGGGAATTTGAAGAGCAGGGATCAAACGGTGAATGTTTGCTGACTGCAAAAGGATTCTAAAAGAACACTGAGGTCACTATTCCCCGTATCAAAGGGAAAGTAAACTTAAAAGAAATAAAACAAACCTGAAGGAACTTTAATTGTTGTGGAAAAATAAGAACAGGCCTCATAGATTTAGGTGCATTACATATTTATGTAACTATTTATACCACACTTTTTCTCCTTAACAAAGGCCCAAAACAGCCTATTGGTGAAGCAACGTATTATAAATTTCATAAGTAAGTCCCCACAACAACATTGTGAGGTAATTAGGCTGAGAAAGAGTGACTGGCCCAAGGTCATCCAGCCAGCTTCCATGGAAGAGTGGGGATTCAAACCCAGGTCTCCCAGATCCTAGCCAGACCCTCTAACCACTAATGCCATCGCAACTGATGAAGACATGTCTATCACTGCTCGCTTGAGTGGCTTGATCTTGAGAACCAAATAATGTCTAGAGTAGCTCTGGAATACAAGGAGGATTGCAGCAGCAACTTCTGTGATGAGGAAAGAAAGCTCTTACCATTTTTCTGGCCATGAAAATAGCTGCTGTGATTTTCCAATTTGTGCCTATTTTAGGAATTATTTTTGCACACACACAAATATTTTAAAGAGTACAGTCTGCACGAACTCTCGGTACATAAAAGAACAGGATACTTTAAGACAGGGATAGGCCATCTGGGTGCCAGAAAAATGCAACATTTGGCCTCTCAAGTTGTCAATGTAAAGGCAGAAGGCTATGGAGACAAGAGTTGTACCTGCCAGGTAACACCAGCCACTGCCAGGGACTAAGTAAAATGGTCTGAAATGTACTGCCAATTCAGCATGGGTGCTGGGCTTGCCAGCCGCTGTTCTAACTGCATGACAATTACTGTGTCCTTTGGTGCAAAAAGGAACCCAGGAAAAGAAGAATGGTTTACGTTGCTCAGCTCACACTCTGAGAAGCTAACTGAGCAGATTTCGTTTAAGAGCAGGATTTGTTCACAAATAGGGAGCAAGGCCTGAACACGCGACATCAAAACCATTCCGTAAAATGGTTTTGCCAGAGCTGTCCGCAACTCTCCCAAGAAGTTTTCTCATGGTTGATCTCTAAAGGAGGACCTCCTCTCTGAACCACATTAAAAAAGCTAAACATCTTTAGGGAGAAATTAAAGGAAGGGTTTATGTAAAACATTTTGGGAAATGGTTTGGTATGTAGAGACAGGAAACATTTGCTAAAATAATTTCAGCCAGTTACTGAAGAATATGTGTATGCATGGGCGGGGGAAGAGACACAACCTAACTTTGTTTGGAAAAAAGATTTGGAAAAGTGTTCCCTAAAACTGTTTTCAACACTGACTTGAGCTTGAAAAATTTCATGACTGTCGTAAAATGCAAACCAGATACTATATTCCTATTGAAGACTTACAAAATTTATCTGTACAAGCTTTTGTGAGTCAGGCAAATTAGACCAGCAAAGAGACACACTGCATTGTACTGCAGCCTCTCAGTTCTCCTGTTTGTGCCTCTCTTTGTGGGTATATGTACCTACCAACTGAATGTCAGGCTTAATGCATCTGATGAAGGAGGCTCTGGCTCATGAAAATGTATGCTAATATGTGCATTAGTATTTAAAACAAATTAATATGTAATATTTAATTAGTATATATGCTAATTAATGTTTAAAATGTTAGATTCTCTTGTTTTGGCTGCAGCTCTCTAACATGATTACTCCTCTAGTATACTGCTGTTATCTCACTGAGTATCAGCAAAGCATTTACATGTAAAATTGCTCATTTTTAATATTATTTCACCTTGCCCTTTGGATAACTCTCACATGTGTGCATGGTACCAACAGGCAACCTGTGATAGGGCAGCTCATACTAAATGTGGCGGTTCTGCTCAGGAAAATTCAGAATTCTTTGTTGCTTTCTGTCACACTAAAAAAAGGGGAGGGGAGGTTTAAGAAACAGAAAGAGAGAATGGTAGTCCAAATATATTTCTGAACATATTCTTTACCAAGCATAAGTGTTTAGACCAAATGCAGATTTATTTATTAATTTTGATTTATATCCCGCCTTGCCTGCACCAGGATGAATGTGTTTCTTTTTCGAACAAAAGGAGATTAGAACACAGTATAGTAAACTGAGTCCAGACAGAGTCCCTTGTTCAAAGAAATGGCTGGAAATGCTTACACAGGGCTGCCAGACACGAGATTGCAAAATATAGCCAGTGGGGTTTAGCCAGAGCCAGCATGGTGTAGTGGTTAGAGCACTGGATTAGGATCTGGGAGGCCCAGGTTCAAATCTCCAGTCTGCCACGGAAACATGCTGGGTGACCTTGGGCCAGTCACACAGTCTCTGACAAACCTGCCTCACACGGCTGTTGTGCGGATAAAATGGGGGAGAAGAGAATGTTGTTAGCCACATTGGGTCCCCACTGGGGAGAAAGGTGGGGTATAAACGAGGCACATAAATAAAATATAGAGAAATGAAGATATGAGTACAGAGTAAGTCCATATGGGCCTTATACCTTCCTTTGAATGGGCAAGACACTCAGCGGCTACTGCCACTGCCACCCACTTGGGCATGGATTGGACCCCAATAAATGATTTTAATATATTTTGATAATTTATGACTTGCTTTTCAAGGGGAGATTCTCAAAGCAATTTACAGATCATAAATGTTAGATACAACAAAACAATCACAGTTTAAAACCATTAGCACTGTCAAATCATTCAACGCCATCGTCAACCATTATATAGCACTCTATAATCAAAAGCAGAGCCAGCAGCAATCAGGGGCCCATGTAATTACACATCAAAAGCTAGAATGAACCGAAGGTCTTCAAAGTCTCTTAAAAAACCAACAGAGCTTGAATTCCAGAGAGATCGGCAGGCAGCCGATTCCATTGTTGAGGGGGGGGGGAGATACATAAGGATACCAGTATGATGCTAGGTGGAATTTTTCATAGATCTATGGACCAGTGTTCCCTCTGTGCTGAGTCAATGTGAGCTAGCTTACACTTCTTTAGCCTCCGGCTCACACATTTTTGTCTTAGCTCAGGAAGGATGGCTCCAGAGCAATCTAATTAATGCAGTAGCCAAATCGCTTGCTCACGACTTTAAGGCTGGTAGCTCACAAAGTAGAATTTTTGCTCACAAGACTCCACAGCTTAGAGGGAGCATTACTGTGGACCTCACTGAATAGGAGGGAATTTAGGGGAGAAGATTTTTTTAACTTTCCTCGGCTTATTTTATCAAGAACTTTAAAAGCACTATTAGTTCAAATGTAGCCCAGAAGCAAACTGGCAATCAGTACAGCTCATTTACCAAATATTAGCTTGGCTGCTGTGTTGTGGACCACGTGTCGCATCTGAGCTTCCTTCCTGCCCCACACAGAGTACACCAGCGGTTCTCAATGTGGCATGCAGAACAGCTTCCACCTGCTCTCCAGATTCCCCTTCTTCTTTCAGCTACTGCAGTGAAGTTACTAGTTGCCTGATGGCTTTTTTCCTCTTCACTATTGTTACAAAGGAGGAGGAGAAGACCAGAATGTGAAGTGTTGGCAAGGAGGAAAGGACAAAAAGGGAAAGACCTGCCATAAGGGAGGGCTGGCCTGGGACCCACTTTCAGCAGCTTCCTGACCCACTTTTGGGTCCTGACCAATGCTCCCTCTAAGCTGTGGGGTCATGTGAGCAAAAATTCTACTTTGTGAGCTACTGGGATTAAAGTTGTGAGCAAGCGATTTGGCTACTGCATAAATTAGTTTGCGCTGGAGCCATCCTTCCTGAGCTAAGACAAAAATGTGTGAACCGGAGGCTAAAAATTCTGTGAGCTAGCTCACTGTGAGGTAACTCAGCTTAGAGGAAACACTGGTCCTGACCTGCTGGAATACACTGTAGCAGTTCAGCTGGGAGGTTATCAGGGCACCCCACAAAAGCCAAGTTCTGGTCTAAGAAAGGGCACAAAGCAGACAAAAGGTACTCTTGGCCACAGATCCTATTTGGCCCTCTAAAAGAAGGCATGAGTCCAAGAGCATTCCTGAATCATAAGCCATTTCTACCACTTCACCAGGCGCCAGGGAAACCACTATTAGCGACTCCATCAGGATTAAGTTTCGAGTTACTCACCCTCA